ACAGTAGCCCTGGCCACACAGGTCCTTTTAAGCAACTCTGCACTTAACACACAGACATAAGAGTGCATGGATCTTCTCATCTAACTCTTGGTAAAGATGTAGTTATACTCATTCACTTCTTTGCCAAGACTTGTGGGTGTTAGCGCTCCCATGAGGCTGTAAAGCACATTAGCATGATCATCAGTTGAAGTATTAGCTGTAAAACTTGGACAAGTCGATAGAGTGACCTGTTGCTGCACTAAAATTATTTTAATTCTTCAGTCCATCCAACTGTAGTCAAGATTCAGTCTGGACCAGCGGACATCTGCCATCCCTAGAGCTACGCTGCTAGCATGGCTAAAAGACAGGCATCGGGGGAACATTCAGAGCGAGTGCTCTCTCTAAGATAATAAGTTTCCAGTAATATATCACACTGAACGGATAACATCCTGTCAGTCATCAGCTATCATTTCACTTTGTCCCTCAATTTTTTATTCTGTTTATAAGCTGAGGCTTTGTAGGTTTTGGTAGTAAATGATTGTAGATGTAGGGGATTTGTCAGAGCTTATTGATGCCCCCTGCCCCTGCCGTGGGTATCTGCATACAAACCAACAACTGAGCCCCGTGCGATAACCTTGTATCCTGTAATGAATAATTTCAGCACCTGGGAGCTTAATCCCTTTATTGGTGGACCTTGAGGCCTTTTTTTCTTGTTCAACCTGATAATAAATACACTCTGTGAATACTCACCATTGCTTTCTACAATTACAAGACACATCAAACCTGTGCATCCGTTTGTGTTTGTGTGCAGCACCACCAATAAGTTTTCATTGTCCTCAAAGGTTTAAAGACTTATTGACCCACAACAAGGCAAAGACAAGACAAAAATTAATGCGCGCATATTGGCTTCAAGCTTCGGTGAACAAGAGTGATTATGAAGTGTGTGTATGTGTGTGTGTGTGTGTGTGTGTGTGTGTGTGTGTGTGTGTACAGTGTGTGTGTGTGTGTGTGTGTGTGTGTGTGTGTGTGTGTGTGTGTGTGTGTGTGTACAGCGTGTGTGTGTGTTTGTACTTCTCACATTGTGGAGCTTTAAAGTGATGTAACTTTAGGAAAGTGAGAATTTTTTTTGGTTGTGTTTGGCCTCGCTGTGACTTGGGGTTGCAGCTAGATTCAGTATCAGTGTTGAAGTTTGGTTAGGGGGTTTGGGAAATATGATGTAACAACAATGCATATTTGACAGACCACGTCAGATCAGTCACAGATTGATTGTACTGAAGAAACAGAGAAGACCATGAAATGCTAAATTGATTTTTCGCTATGCCCCTCAGTTACTAGGTGTGTATCCATCCACTTGTTTTTGTGAGTGGAAATGTCAAAACTCAAAATAACCCAGAAAGGTTTTTTATGCTTGGCTGAGATGGAAAAGTTGGTGCAAAATGTGACCCAGTGCAACGGAAACTGACTCATACATGAAGCATGTGACTTCTTGTATGTCAAGAAGCTTCCGGTCTGAGATGAGGAGACTACAACCTTTAAAATAAATACATGCAACAAACATAAATGCCACATTTCCATCATGTTTTCTACACTTTTTCCGCACTATTTGAGATATTTAAGGTCGTTGTGTCCTCATCTTCTTTTGCAATGGTAGCATTAGAGGCACCTACTTCACCAATATTTGCAACTTGCAACATAGTGGATGAAAACTTGCATGATTTCTAAAAACATTTGCATTAGATTTGGATGGAAACCTGTACCTTAAACCTGTATTTAAGTGGATATCAGGCTCAGGCTGTTAAACATTAGGGTGGTTAACTATAGGAGCAAGTTGGTTGCAGCTCTTTTGCTCCTGGGTTTTTGATTTTAGAGAAAGATACAAATCAAAAAAAGAGAAAAGTTCACCTTGCAGTGCTCATTTACATTTATTAATCTATGATTCGACGATCACATTTTCACTATTCAGGCTAACCCATATGTAAAGTCTGCAGTATAGCTAGTTGTAGGCCTACATTTGAACCTCATGAATACTAAAAAGAAATATGACCTATAATACTGGCCTATATGTAGTGTAGTGAGTGGAAATTAGTCACACACTAATGTTACTGGATAGAATTATCTTTAATGATATCGCCCTTTTAATCACAGATCAGTCAAACATTGTGATCCAATTCCAATCGGACGATAATGACGACACAATTATTGAATTTAAACTGAGTTAACTATCACTGGTTGTCTGTTTGTAGACCTTATTGGGAGCTATTTCTACATTAGCCATTCACAAATTCTCAATTTTCCACATTGGGAAGCCTTCACTGGTTAAATGTTAACACATTTCTGTACACAAACACACACACGCTGTTAACACCCACGGTGTTGCAAAAAAAAAGAAATCGTGTGGAGGCATAAATAGAAATCATACTGTTTGCGTCATCCTTCTGATTGAGGGACTGCCTGCAGCTGCCATTCCAGTTTAAATTTTTTACTTCACTTCGGTTAAGCTTTGATAGATTGAATGACGTCATTAAAATTGAACTTGGTGCATTCATGTTCCATGGAAGAACCGTGTACTTTATATGAACCCCTCTACTGGGAGTTACTCTTCATATCTGCCGGTATAAAACTATTACATTTATTTTGAGGGTGTATTTTTTTTACTTTCATGTTGAAAACACTGCTGAATGCTGAAACTAAACCTTATATTTCTTATTTATTTATTTATTTTTTGAAGGAGTACTTCAGATTTTGCGTAAAACCAACTGTGTCTCAGGTGTATAACATTTTATTTTCATGTATTTTAATCTCTGTTGGGCGAAACAGGAGAGAATTAACATTTATATGTAACATTTACGGACCAGATGGTGGGTCAGATTTTAATCTTCATGATAACATGCAATGCCGTGCAAGCTAAGGAGAACAGCGTCAGGTTGAATGCTCACATATCATCTTTCCCATATAACATGGAAAGACTACTACAACAGGACAATACTTTAATATTATGATGGGTTTGATGGTTATTTGATATTTGTCTTGTATAAAAGCTACATGGTGCGTTGTGCCTAAATAATATGGCAAAGATATGTCTTAGCGGAGGTGTAATTTTGAGTTAAATGGATTAAGACTTCTCAGGACTATGAAGCATCAAGCTGCATTAATTAACACTTGTAACAGTGATAATATTTAACAGAAAACAAAAGGTTTTAGTAGAGTAAATATGTGTAAATATACAGTTGATTTACTAACTCTTTAATATAAAACCTTCAGTAAATGCGTTAATGTTAAAGTACAATGTTCAAGGCTTTAACCAGTATTGATTTTTATAATCCTGATACACAGTAAACCCATACACGCCACTGAGTGTGATAATAACCTGTAGCTTTTCAACCTGTGATACAGTGAAAACATCTTGTTCTCGGGGTGAGAACAGCCAAACATCACAGCATTATTAGGTATAAGAATCTTAACTTTGCTTGTTCCAGCCCATTTTTCAAAGCCCTGCCACCCAGCGTTTCCACTACGATGTGACAGCGCTGTGAACTGCTTTGTCTCGACGCTGACATCCGTAGGAAGGAGGGGGTGACAGAAAGCTTAAGTCTCTGAGAAATGAGCCCACGTTGGCTTCATCATTTAAACACTTTCTTGCTTCTGAAGTTCGATTCGAGGCCATAACTTTGTCTTGATTTGTTAGAAATATCATTCTTTGTATTGGATTTATTATTTTGATCGTATTATGTGAATTTGTATTAATTTTATTCCCCTTTTAGTTTTTTTAAATGATGTTGTCGGAGCCTGAAGGACACATGATGGATCAGACTGGAACCTGCTGTATAATAGACCTTTTTCAGAGCAACTATTTCTACATTAAAGGTCCAGTGTGTAACATTGAGGAGGATCTATTGGGAGAAATGGAAGATAATATTCACAGGTATGATTTTATTAGTGTTTAATCACCTGAATGTAGGAAGTGTTTTGTTTTTGTTACCTTGCAATGAGACTTTTTTAGTAGCCCAGAAGGGACAAACCAAACACGGGCTCTAAATAGGGGCCACCATAATTTCTCCTTTGCCCTCCAATAAACACGGATGATACCAATGATTCTAATTAAGGCTCCGTTCCATTTAGTGTAGCAGAGCCTCCCCAGTTAGCCAACATGCACAATAGCAGCACCCGGACTCTGTTTGACCTGAATGGAACAGAGCCTTAATTAAAATATAACACCTGTGTTTACTCGACTATTTAATGTCAAAATATGGCTGCTGTGAAAAAGGTCTATAGCAGGGCTGCCCAAAGAGGGGCCAAAGGGTATGATTTGGCAAAAAAACCCAAAACAATTAAAGAACTATTTCAAGGACCAGCGTGTAGGATTCAGTGACATCTAGTGGTGAAGATGCAGATTGCAACCGACTGAATACTGCCCAGCCTTTCCAAGTGCAAACAAGAAACAGTGGCTGCATAAAAACTAAGAAACAAAGAATAAGAGACCCGATCTACTGTGTAGATAAAAACATCTCGTTCGGTAACAAAAACACAACGATTCTTATTTTCAGGTGATTATACACTGGTGAAAACACACCAGTGAATATTATATTCAGTGTCTGCCAATAGATCCTCCTAAATGTTACACACTGGACCTTTAAAAATAAAAAACACAATATATAAAATTACTGTTTTAAGTATTTAAATAGATTCCTTTTTATTTTTCATAATCCGAGCAATTTAGGATCTTAGTACCCATCAGTAAGTTTCAGTTTAGGCTCTCAAAGAGAAGAAATTGAACCTTGTATTTGTCTCAATGTGAAGTCAGCTTGTTGAAGTCTTTTATTTTGAAGGTCAGGTCTTTGCTACGTATCTAAAAACAACTTTTAGTTCAGTTTTTTTTTTTAAAAAGTCTGATTTTTCAACAAACACCCACACCTTTGTTTTCACGTCACATCTCACTTTCACCGTCACGTTGCCGGTAGTTTTTTTTTTTTTTTTTTTGTCCGACAGCCCCTGAACGCGGCGCTGCTCCCATCCTACGTGAATGCAGCATAAACTGTTGAGGTGATCCATGGCAACAGAGGAGCAGCAACCAACCGCTGAGTGAGCCTCACACACACACACATACACATACACACACACACACACACACACACATTCACACACTCACTCACACATACCTTCAATCTCTTCACACTCAACGTCAATGTTAACCGGAATGCACCGAGGGAGGAATCACTCGTAACGGCTCCCGTTGACTGATTTTCCCGTATCAAGGTGACCGACCGGGAGCCAGCCAGCCAGTTGCCCGAAAAACAAAGCTCCACATCGGCGCCAGGTGACAGCAGGCAGCACCCGCACCTCGGAGCACTGAAAACGGACACATTTTTTTCTTTTGACAAGATGGTAGTTGCGAACGTTTCTGGGGCTTAAACCACAAATATCACCCTTAGTATCCGGATCTGAGCAAAATGAGAGCAATTCTTAACAGTTTGTGGGCAAAAAAGACTTAATTATCTTTATTATTATATATTTTTTTGTTGTTGTTGTGCCTCTCTCTGCAAAAACCAGACACTGTCCCGGTCCTCTCTCAGCAGCAGCGTCCAGCTCATTATTACAGCTCCCGTATCTCTCTCCAGCATCTCAAGCATCGTAGTGAAGATGGCGACTGGGTCGGGTTGGCAGCAGTATTACTGCCCTGCCGGTCAGGGGAAATTTAGTTCATCCTCCGCATCCAGCGTGTCCTTTCAGACCGGCATCGCCATGGAATATACCCAAGACCTGCACCTGAAGATGAGCAAGAAAATAGCACAGCTAACAAAGGTAAGGATGTGTTATTATGAGGCCTCTCCTCCACTCTCTCTCTCTCTCTCTCTCTCTCTCTCTCTCTCTCTCTGAGCGGTGTTATCAACCCTTGGGTTAGACCCTGTGCCTCCCTCGTTCTCGTGTGAGAGAGCTGGGCACCAAACTCCGTAAGGAATTTTACCTATTTAGCATTTTATCTGTTATTGGCGAATGTTTCGAAGAGGTGTAAGACGAATTTGAGTTTTTTTCTTAATGTAAAGATACCTCTATTACTTTCGGCTCCCGTGTAACACAAAAAGCACTAATTCCTCTGATAAAAATAATTAACTTTTACAATTTGCTCCCGCCGCTCACCAACACAGTGTTTTTTTTGGTGGAGGGAAACTGCGTCTCAGAGACGATCAAAAGTTGGATTTTAATCTAAATGCGTGCTGCATGATGTTTGAATTGTGTGCCGAATTAAAACGCAGCTACTGTTTTTCTCTCTAAAGTATCTTAAGACACATTATAAAAGCATGCATTGTTGTCAAAACAGCAAAAAAGCTTAAATCTGTGTAATCCTTCAACGGAGTTTGGGGGAAAATCCTCGTTCTTACTAGAAAGAGCTCGGGAGGTACGAGCTGCCTGGAGGAGTCTGTTCGGATGCTGCATCCATCAATAACGGGTCATTAGCCACGACAATGATCAGATCAGTCATTAATCACCCATTGTAACACAGACTGTGCTGGCATTTTGTTTTACTTGCCCATGTTAATGTTGTTCTTGGGGTGGGGTGGTGATGGTGGTGATGGTGGTGGTGGTGGTGGGGGGGCTTATAAATAATTCTGCTTGCTAAATAAGGCACTTGCTCCAAACTTTGATCCCTCATGATGACAAGCAGTACTGGAAAAGGAGACATAGATTGAAAATAAGACACAGGCTCTGCAAAAAAAACTGTGCATTTGAATATCATTTTACAGTATACAACCCCCCCCTCCTTTATTTGCTTATCTAGAATATTTTATTCCATGCCTGCAATTCCCCAAAGCCAGAGCATACAGTGTGTGCGTTGAATTAGAATATTTTGCCTTCTGATGTTTCAGTATTTATTCACACAGCATCTTTAGTTCCCACAAACGGCGTACTGTTAATAAAGTATACATCAGCTTTATGAGCGCACTGATAGGAATTAATTCAGTTAAAACATTTTATTTGCTTTAGCCCTGCTCACTGGGAGGTTCTACTTCCACTTCGACTGCACCTTTTGGGCTTTCAAGGGCATTTCAAATGCTTTTTTTGCCCTGAGGGGCAGTGCTTTCATCTCTCACTCGCCCCAAATGACAGGGTTCCAACTTCTAACAGAGTAGTAGCAACCTCTCAACAACATTCGCCCAGGGTCAAAGCACGTTTGTGGCTCCGCTGTGTCATTATCGTTAAGCCGTGGGTCTGCCGGTGCCTCACACGTGCTTCCAGGTGGCTTTTTGGAGATGCCTCCTGTTGCTACTGAAGGGGTTTGACACATCAAATCAGTTATATCCTCCAAGGATTCGCCACTGACACTAACATAAGATTTGTGCTCTCAGTATTTTCTCTTTGTGCTGAGGAAGTGGAGGATGGGATGGGAAGTAAAAAAATATCATAATTCAGCAGCCTTGGGCGAAGTGTGTGCCAAGTGTTTGTGCAGTGTGGGCTCTTTAAAGTTTGAAAGAGACCTTTTAACCTTGTTAGCTAGTTCTTCACATCACAGCATCCAGTATACCTGTTTAACAAAAAACACAGAGGGAATTACACACATTATGTTTGCTTATTTTCTGTTTGAAAGTACTTTTTACTTCTTTCTTTTTAGTTTTTCTTACCAGTAGGCCCACTGGGAGTTCAGTTAACAGATACAATGATCCCAGTATTCAGCCGACTTTGCTATTCAGTTGCCACCACAAGGAAATGATGAGATTAAATATTCAGTATGACTGAAGTTTAATACTACATTGTTATTTTAGATATTAAATGAACACTTTTTAGCAGCAGTTTGACGTTTACTGTGCTTTTAAATCCTTTACGTGCAACCTCAGAAGTTAAACAGAAGTCTCAGTGTGGAAGGAATCATAGTTGTGTTACAGCGTCTGAATTCAATTTATTTATCAGAATCCAGAATATAAGCAGGGTTTGTTAACACTGGGTTAAATTGAAAGATTTATAGGTTATACGTCACCATTGGTTACCTCTATTGCAAATTCTAGTTTAGTTTTAGCAAATAACAACCAAGAACCACACTCAGTGGGGATAATATGCAAAAAACATTAAAGCGAGTTTCTTCACCAGCTGTGATAAATGTTTGTTATTAATGCACGTAACATATATTAGCATCACTGTGCCAAGGATTACTCGTATTGCACTGTAAACTCAAATATTAACATTGAATCTTCATGCAGTGTTAGCTTTTACATTATCCCATGTGTATGTGATTAGGAATGTAAAGATATATCGTGGCACAGTTACAAACACGTACAGATATTCTACTCTTGTAATGCTCTTTTGAAACAGCAGCAGAAGCATCTGCTTTTGACTTGGCTTGTTCGATGTCTTTACATCACTCAGCTGAGTCAGAGACATCAGTTATCTGCACAGTTTGTGTGCAGGAATCTTTTTCACTCTTTGATCAAATCGTAAGTCCCTACATTTTTCTATGAATTATCCATCACAAAGGGGAGACACTCATTTTAAACAGTGATGATAATATTTCTTATGAAAATTCCACATTTTATCCGCTTTATTTAATAAAGAAATAAAGAAATAATACAATATTAAACCTGTAGTTAGACTGAATATTTCCTTGCTGATAGCACCAGAGTATGACCAGGTAAAAGCTGAGCTGAGCAGCATTTCCAACTACCAGCTACAACGTTCTCCCACAGGCGTCACATCTGAGCCTCGTATCTCCCGGGCCTCGTTGTATTAGGCCACAACAACGCGGAGGGAATAGGCCCATAGCATGAAGGCCATCTGCTCACGCTGACCGCTGATCTCCGCGGAGTCGGAGCTGCGTTCAGGGATAAACGGTAACCTTGAAACCTCTCTGAACAGCTCGCTGACACATTACAGGCCCGATAATTTCCAGCCTTTCTGTGTCTGAGGAGGACTCAAGAGTGATTGAGGCATCTGAATTTTTTATCTCATATTCTGACTGGCCTACTTTAACCCTCTTCCTACGAGCCTGTTTGCATATTATGATCGATAAAGATCGGTTCCCTTTTTAGTTCACGACCCTCTTTGTATTCTAAATGTCTCGTTTCTTTCCTTTTTGGGGCATTTTGACTGGTCTGTTCCTCTCTGAGTCTTCTGATTTCTGATGATTATCTGCTTTTTAGTAATGCACCAAGGCACAAAGTACAGTAGCAACGGGAATAAAGGAGACTGAAGCGCAGACAAAACCCAGATAAAAGAGTAAAAGTACAGTATGCATCGGTTGTTGTCAGCTCAGTGCACCTATAGCCCAGCTGTGACGCACACATCGCCTCTTTGTGCTTTTCCAGAGACTTCATGCATCGTCAGTAAATCAGTCATTGATTGCTATTCCCCTGTGGCTCTGAATTTCATGATTCGCGATGCAAGACTTGTTTGCCGCCAACGTTATTTAAGACTTCTTGCAGTAATTTTTAATCCCACAAAGCTGCTTTCCGGCCCTTTGTGTAGTTCAGGCTCTGCGAGGATTTTGCTGTCATATTTTTTTTTCATTTCATAAGTTATACTCTCTGATGGTTTTGCCTTTATTGTAGTGCCTCTGTCAAAAAGAGGGAGATGTAGGGGTTTTGCTGCTATGGCAACAAGTTTTATATAAATTATAATTCAGGGCAGTGGCATGTAAGAAGTGGGCCGAGGATTTTTAAAGGAATAAGACTGATTTCTTTGTAGCCTGTCCGCAGTGAAATCAGGACTGAAGTTTCTGGTCGTTGTCAGAGCGCTGGGAAACAGAGAGGATGTCATTTTGCATCGTCAGGAGAATGCCTTATAACAAATGTATTACCTAGCCTAGGGTGTGTGTGTGTGTGTGTGTGTGTGTGTGTGTGTGTGTGTGTGCATGTGTGTCAGCAATGCCTGGCTGTCTGTACTGTCAAAGTGAATCAGAAATAGACCTCTGAGCTCTCCATGTATTTCTGGACGAAGGGATTGAAAGAGACAGAGATAGTGAAATACTGTAGTGTGTGTGTGTGTGTGTGTGTGTGTTTGTGTGTTTGCAAGTCATCTTCTGTAGTACTGCAGAACCACAGCAGCATCATCGTGCACGTAAACATTTCAACAGAAAAACCCATTCACGTGTTTGAAATAAAGATCAGAAACTGTGCTGATATCCTCGCGCCTGCTCTTCAACATCTCTGAAGCTTTACTAAGTCTCAGTTCTTTTATGAACTTGTGCAGCAGACACTGCGGAATCAGCTATACCAATATGTGGGTGCACAGATACAGTACACCACACAGATACTGGCTTTCTTATCGGAAATTATGATATTAGATATGATTAAAAAAAAAAAAAAAAAAGAAATAGACTTGAAAACGACCAAATCCAGCACACGCGTGTAAACTCAGAATGATCTGTATTATAATGCTGACTGTGATGATGAGAGGACTGGGAGTTATCCTCTGATAATGGATGAAGGTAATATTCTGGTTGAACCATTATCGATCAGCGTTGCTCCTTTTGGTCACAGAGTCATTCGTTATTCGTGTTGCTCCTCTCGTGCCTGCGCTTCTTACCACAAACCTCAAGAACATGAAAATGCACAAAAACTGCTGCTGGGAAGAATCGACTGGATAAAAAGGGGGAATATATTGACAGATAATAAATAGTCTGTCCAGGTTTGTATCGGCTAAAATAGGATTTTAATCACCAGGCTCGTGAGTGTGTCTGTACCAGTGACTGAAAATACTGCTGAAAACGCAAATACGCTGTCATCACTTGGCAGCATCATTAAAGCCAGAAAGCACGTGTGTGTGTGTGTGTGTGTGTGTGTGTGTGTGTGTGTGTGTGTGTGTTGATGCTATAA